TCACTATCTCATCTGGAAGATCAACTCCCACTCGATTCAAGTGATTGTTGCACTCAGACAATCTGAGCACAAGCTCAACAATTGAGCTTTTCTCCCTTAGTTTGCAGGCTAAGAAAATTGTCGGAGGTCTTATACCTCTTGACGTGGGCACGAGCCTGAAATCCTAATTTCAGCCCTCGAAACATCTCATATGTTCCGCGACATTTCGAAAACGTCTTTGGTGCCTATACTCTAAACCATTTAACTGAACTATCACGTAGTTATCAAAACGTGTATGTCCGATGTTCACAACATCCACAAACGACATTTGGGGTTCAGCACACTAAGCGGTGCATTAAGTACATAAGCTTTCTACTGTCCGCATAATCGCTACTGTCAACTTTCAACTATATTTTCTCTAGGAACATATCTAAAACAGTAGAACTAAAGCGCGAGCTACGACATAATTTGCAAAAGGTCTTTTGACTATGTTCAAGATAATTAAGTTCATCTCATGAACTCCCACTCAGATAGACATCCCTCTAGTCATCTAAGTGATCACATGATCCGAGTCAACTAGGCCGTGTCCGATCATCACGTGAGACGGACTAGTTATCATCGGTGAACATCTTCATGTTGATCGTATCTACTATACGACTCATGCTCGACCTTTCGGTCTCCGTGTTCCGAGGCCATGTCCGCACATGCTAGGCTCGTCAAGTTAACCCTAAGTGTTTTCGCTGTGTAAAACTGTCTTACACCCGTTGTATGTGAACGTAAGAATCCATCACACCCGATCATCACGTGGTGCTTAGAAGCGACGAACTGTAGCAACGGTGCACAGTTAGGGGAGAACACTTCTTGAAATTGTTGTAAGGGATCATCTTATTTACTACCGTCGTTCTAAGCAAACAAGATGCATAAACATGATAAACATCACATGCAATCAAATAGAGTAGTGACATGATATGGCCAATATCATATAGCTCCTTTGATCTTCATCTTCGGGGCTCCATGATCATCTTGTCACCGGCATGACACCATGATCTCCATCATCATGATCTCCATCATCGTGTCTTCATGAAGTTGTCACGCCAACGACTACTTCTACTTCTATGACTAACGCGTTTAGCAATAAAGTAAAGTAGTTTACATGGCGTTCTTCAATGACACGCAGGTCATACAAAAAATAAAGACAACTCCTATGGCTCCTGCCGGTTGTCATACTCATCGACATGCAAGTCGTGAATCCTATTACAAGAACATGATCAATCTCATACATCACATATATTCATTCATCACATCCTTTGGCCATATCACATCACATAGCATACCCTGCAAAAACAAGTTAGACGTCCTCTAATTGTTGTTGCATGTTTTACGTGGCTGCTATGGGTTTCTAGCAAGAACGTTTCTTACCTACGAAGACCACAACGTGATATGCCAATTGCTATTTACCCTTCATAAGGACCCTTTTCATCGAATCCGTTCCGACTAAAGTGGGAGAGACTGGCACCCGCTAGCCACCTTATGCACCAAGTGCATGTCAATCGGTGGAACCTGTCTCACGTAAGAGTACGTGTAAGGTCGGTCCGGGCCGCTTCATCCCACAATACCGTCGAAACAAGATTGGACTAGTAACGGTAAGCATATTGAACAACATCAACGCCCACAACTACTTTGTGTTCTACTCATGCAAAGAATCTACGCAATAGACCTAGCTCATGATGCCACTGTTGGGGAACGTAGCAGAAATTCAAAAAATTTCCTACGTATCACCAAGATCTATCTATGGAGAGACCAGCAACGAGTAGAAGGAGGAGTGCATCTACATACCCTTGTAGATTGCTAAGCGGAAGCGTTCAAGTGAACAGGGTTGATGGAGTCGTACTCGTCGTGATTCAGATCACCGATGAACAAGTGCCGAACGCACGGCACCTCCGCGTTCAACACACGTACAACCCGGTGACGTCTCCCACGCCTTGATCCAGCAAGGAGAGAGGGAGAGGTTGAGGAAGACTCCATCCAACAGCAGCACAACGGCGTGGTGGTGGTGGAGGAGCGTGGCAATCCCGCAGGGCTTCGCCAAGCACCACGGGAGAGGAGAAGAACTTGGGAGAGAGGGAGGGGCTGCACCAAAGGCATAAGGTGTGTTTTGGGAGGCCCTCCTACCCCACTATATATAGGGATCCCAAGGGGGGGGGTGCGCCAGCCCCTAGGAGATCCAATCTCCAAGGGGGCGGCGGCCAGGGGAGGAGTCCTCCCCCCCCCAAGGCACCTAGGAGGTGCCTTCCCCTGCTGGGACTCTTCCTTTAGGGTTTCCCCAGGTGCATGGGCCTCTTGGGGCTGGTGCCCTTGGCCCATGTAGGCCAAGGCGCACCCCCTACAGCCCATGTGGCCCCCCGGGGCAGGTGGCCCCACCCGGTGGGCCCCCGGGACCCTTCCGGTGGTCCCGGTACAATACCGATGACCCCGAAACTTGTCCCGATGGCCGAAACAGGACTTCCTATATATAAATCTTTACCTCCGGACCATTTCGGAACTCCTCGTGACGTCCGGGATCTCATCCGGGACTCCTAACAACATTCGGTAACCACATACAAGCTTCCTTTATAACCCTAGCGTCATCGAACCTTAAGTGTGTAGACCCTACGGGTTCGGGAGACATGCAGACATGACCGAGACGTTCTCCGGTCAATAACCAACAGCGGGATCTGGATACCCATGTTGGCTCCCACATGTTCCACGATGATCTCATCGGATGAACCACGATGTCAAGGACTCAATCGATCCCGTATACAATTCCCTTTGTCTAGCGGTATTTTACTTGCCCGAGATTCGATCGTCGGTATCCAATACCTTGTTCAATCTCGTTACCGGCAAGTCACTTTACTCGTTCCGTAACACATCATCCCGTGATCAACTCCTTGGTCACATTGCGCATATGATGATGTCCTACCGAGTGGGCCCAGAGATACCTCTCCGTTTACACGGAGTGACAAATCCCAGTACCTGTAGTGCACCTTTACAGTCACCCAGTTACGTTGTGACGTTTGATACACCCAAAGCACTCCTACGGTATCCAGGAGTTACACGATCTCATGGTCAAAGGAAGAGATACTTGACATTGGCAAAGCTCTAGCAAACGAACTACACGATCTTTGTGCTATGCTTAGGATTGGGTCTTGTCCATCACATCATTCTCCTAATGATGTGATCCCGTTATCAACGACATCCAATGTCCATAGCCAGGAAACCATGACTATCTGTTGATCACAACGAGCTAGTCAACTAGAGGCTCACTAGGGACATATTGTGGTCTATGTATTCACACGTGTATTACGATTTCCGGATAATACAGTTATAGCATGAATAAAAGACAATTATCATGAACAAGGAAATATAATAATAATACTTTTATTATTGCCTCTAGGGCATATTTCCAACATTATGTGTATGTGTTGTTCCAATATTATTTTCACGATTTTTGGAAACTTTTACACCATTGAAACATTAACTAGTTATGTGAAACCCGTTGGTTATGGGGCTTTTTGCTTATGTTCTAGCCTTTTTAGGCAACCTTGGTTCTTGTCCGTGCTTAGACACGTGTTTCTTCCGCTGCAAGAATGTTGTAATGTTGGGTCGTGTGACCTCTGATTGGTGTACAACTATGCTATCATATTGACACATGTTTGCCCAATTATTCACTCATATTAAGCTCTTCTATCTTATTTAGTAGTACTTGTTGTGATATTACATCTTTGTTCATCGGCATATGAAAGTGCATGTATGTTATGAAGTCATATGATGGGGCGATCAATATGCGCTTCTAGCCTTGACAAGGATTCCAAAGTCTTTGTTGAGGCTAGGACCGCAGGTTTGGCGTTATAAGTTGGTATCAGAGTAGTACCGATCTTAGGATCCCTTTGTTGGTCGATGTCAATTCTAGAAATAAAAATCTATTTTGATAGTTACTTATTAGGTAGTTTTTGAAGAGTAGGAATTCTTTTTTACTTCTTTCCCCACCCGTGCTCAAGGAAGTTTGATGTAAGTGTTTTATCTATCATCTTACCTCTTTCAAAAATTATTTAAGTTCTCACAGGTTTCGGAGTTACGATATCGATTGGAATGCCGGTATTTCTTTTAGTGCCCCTATCCGTTGTGGTAATAGTCTCAGGTAATTGCCGCACGAAGAGATTCTTATGATTTAGGTGCATTTGCAACATTTGCTATCGTTTCAGTTTCATTGATTGAGGACGTGGGTTTTCAAAATTGTTTCAATACTATTTGCTAGCAGTAGCCTGGAGCTATACACATTATGGCAATTAACATTGAGCATAACTTGACTAGGGACACTAAAATGAACGGAACTTGTTTAACTGAATCCTCCATTGATTTGGTCAAGTTAAGATTTAGATTAGTTAGAACTCCACTCTGCTCTCGGAACAAATATCATCTCCAACAACATCATAACACATATATGAATGAAAAACATCATCGAAACTTCTTAGATTCATCTTGAATATGTGAGGAACATGCTATGTACTTAGGCATGGTTGCTGGCGCCATGCCACCTTTTATTTTACTGATCGCGTATGTGTTTGTTTGATTTCTACCTTTTACAACAATGAAAATAAGCGCCTAGCTGTTTTTTTGTCAAAGAAGACAACTCAAGGCAAAGCAGATAAAATCAAACCCGAAATCATCAACTGCAATGACAACCTGTCAAAGAAAACAAGAGTTAATCCTACAAATAGAGAACAGCGCGGCCAAGCGCACCTTAGCCTCTAAATAGTACATGCATTTTTTCCCGCCAAATAGTACATGTATTATTTTTTTGCGGGAAAATAGTACATGTATTATTTACTTTTTTCAGGATAAATAGTACATGTATTTTTTTGCATGGAAATAGTACATGTGTTATGTCAACACAAAATATTACACACCTCATGTATAAATACATACGGTGTCTAAAAGTACATATAAATACATACGTAGCACAGTCCTGGGCTGCCCACTGCTCAACCCTGGGCCACACGATCTCCCCATCTGGACGGGCAGAAGGTGACCACGTACTCCTGCGCGTAGCAGCGCGCCGTGGCGGCGGCCACGTCGTAGGCGTAGCTGTAGTAGGCCGGGCAGGCGTCCCTGAAGAGCCGCGAGTAGACGCTGCCCCGGCACGTCTCCGCGGTGCCGTACGCGCCGCGGCAGCAGAAGGCGTCCAGGCCGAAGGCCAGGCACGCGCTCCTGCACGCCACCACCGTCGCCTTCTTGCCCGCGCCGCCGCTCGTCGTGACCTGCAGCTCCGGCGGGCACACCGCGTTCACGTTCTTGGCGCACCCGGCGATGAAGCAGTCACCGCTGCGGTTCGCCGGCCTGGTCCACACGGCCACCGGGAGGTTGTACCCGTCCACCACGCTCACGTCGTAGGAGCTCCCCTTGCTCTGGTCCGCGTGCAGGTTCACCTCGACGAGGGTGGCGGGAGGGGCGCCGACGGACCCGTTGCAGGCGAGGCGTCCGTCGCAGTCGCCGGTGAGGCAGCTGGCGGCGTTGGCGTCGGTGCCCGCGAAGGTGCAGCCGGTGCGGCCCCAGAGGCGGCCGTTCCAGGTGGCCGGTGCCCCGACGCGCTTCGACTGTCCCGGAGGGAGGAAGAAGCCGCCCGCGGCGAGCACGGGGTGGCCGGCGTTGGGCGCGACCGCCGGCCACACCGGGAACGGGCACTTGTTAGTTACGTGGAACGTGACGCCCCCTACCGTCACCACCGCCGGCCCTGCAGCAAAATGAAACGCTGCACATGTTCAGTCCAAAGTCCAAACGCAGCAGTCGAGTAGCTAGCTAGGCCTTCATCACATTTCACAAGCACACACACTGATGAGTGATGAGTGGAGTCACCTGGGAGAGCCAGCACCAAGATGCAGGACAGAAGCAGAGGAGGAAGAAGAGCCATCTCTCAGCCCAGATCTCTTGAGTTGAGGAGGAGACCTGAAATGAAGATGAACTGATATGAAACGAGCTTTATATAGACCTGCAACTGCAGAGAAGAGGTGAGGATTGATCGAGCCTAATCTAGGACTAGGAAGACGAACTTTCGGTTTGTGTGACTTGCATTGCAATGGAAGTAAAGCTGAGGCATGATGAGAGCCGAGACACCTGTGCAGAGACCTGCTGGGCCAAGAAAGCGTAGGATTTTTATGCGGATGTTCCCTTTCTCACTGTATTATCTGTTAGTGCCATCTTTTTTTCAGTGGAATCTATTACCGCACATCAAAGAATTTCAGTCTTTGTTGTTTCTAGAAAAACTTGATTGCCTGTTTACTTTTGTGCAGATTTCATGTGCGTTGCTCTGAACCGATGAAATCCAAGTTGCTAGTGAGACAATCAGCATTTGTTTTTCGTTGTTGGACTTCACATCTGTATTTAGCCCGACAGATTCAGAAGCTTAGCAGATTCACACCGATCATAGAAAGCTCAACCAGATTCAGAAATTTGGCCTTTAGCAGATTCAGACATTGTTCGTTCAAACTTGGCCTTTAGTTCCATCATGTAATTTCCATGCTACAATAACTGAATCATTGATTGCTGAGAGGATTACATGGCGAGGAACCCATAAACTAAGTTTGGGCCCTGCAACTAATTACAGACATACTACTACTAACACAGTAATTAAGCTAACTCAGTGTCAGCGGCACTGCAATGAAATAATTAACCAGTGGCACTGCATCTATCAGATGCTACATCAAGCTAATTAACTCATCAGCGACACAAAGCCAGGGTGCTCCGCTCCTTTGGGCTTGTTGAACCACCGGTGCTGGAGCGCTTCCGTGGCCGTGATCCTCTCGTCGGGGTTGAAGGCAAGCAGGCCGGTCAGGACCTCACGCCCGGCTTCCGAAAGCTCCTCCAAGAACTCCAAATCCAGCTTCCCCGTAGAAGCGATCTGGTCTCGCAGCTTGTACATCTCGGCGAGCAGCTCCTCCTCTGTCTCCGCCACGAACAGGGTCCCGCCGGTCAACATCTCCGCCATGATGCACCCAAGCGCCCACATGTCCACGGCCTGGCCGTAGTACCGGTTGCCTTCCAGCTGCTCCGGCGAGGTGTAGATCAGGGTGCCGACGCAGCACTCCTCATAGGGCACTCCGGCCGGCTTCGCCCGCATCGCCGACCCAAAGTCACCAACTTTGAGCCCGCCGAAGAAGCCGACCATGACGTTCTCCGGCTTAAAGTCCCGATGGATGACGCCAGCTCCATGTATCTTCCTGGCCGCGTCCAGGAGCTGCTCCATCATCACGCGGGTCCCCTTCTCGGATACAGGCCTCCAGAGTGACTCGCGCAGGGTGCGGCCGTCGGCGACGAGCTCCATGACGAGGAACACATCCCCTGTCTTGGCGTCCGTCGCCACATCCAAGATCTCGATAATCGACTCGTGACCCCGGCACGCGGCGAGGCAGCCAGCCTCGCGGGTGATCACGCGGATGTCGGGCGGGCCGTGCCCGCCGGCCCCGTTGCCGCGGACCCACTTCACGGCGACTTTCTTGCCTGTGCGGCGGTCGCGCGCCTTGAACACCTCGCCGTAGGTGCCTTCTCCAAGAACCTCAAGCTTCTTGTAGTCGGAGATGCTTCCAAACGCGTATCGGGGCTTCTTGCCGCCATGGACGCGCGGTTCTTGTCCCTCCGCCGGGCGCTTGCGGATGGCCGTCGACATGACCCGGGCTTAGAACGCGCGCCGACAGCAGATCAGAGCAAGAGGGGCGGGGATTCGTGTGCGTCGGGAGCAGAGGAGATCGAGGTGGATGAGAGGAAGGATCGAGGATGAGGATTGAGGAGGATGAGGATCGAGGCTGTTTTATGGGCTGGCACTGACAGCGCGCGTCTCCGAATTAGCGCGGTATTCAGACAGATTGCGTACGCGTCGCGTTTACGCGGGTGACGCTCGCAGTCGCAGGGACAGCTCACTTTGAAATCGCTTCGTCACCCGCAAGCCATCTCGCACGGATTTTTCTTTCCGATCCATCCGGCCGTTCATCATGTAATTAGCCTCCTCTTTTTCTCATTTTTATTCCTTCTTCTATTGCAAAAATACAAGTTTTTTTTTAATGTTCAAACACTTCTTAAAAATTTAAGAATTCTTTTAACTGTGTGAACAATTCTTGAAATTACAGGAATATATCTATAATATAGATGAACACGTATTTCCCACCAAATCGAGGTTTTGTAAATATGTGAACACTTCTTTTTCCCTTTTCTATATGAAAATGTATGAATATTTTTAAAATGTATAACACTTTTTATAATACATGAAAAATTATTAGGCATGAACACTTTTTAAAATTACATAAAGATTTTTAAAATATGTGTACATTTCTTTTAGTTATACAAACATTTTTTAAATACATAAACATTTTTAAATTATACTATGAACATTTTTTTAAATGTGATGAATATTTTTGGAATGCACGCGTGAATGTTCTTAACACACTATAAAACATTTTCTTGAAATACACGGCAAACATTTTCATAGTACTAGTTGAACAATTTTTCATATATTTTTTAAAAATAAAAACATTTAACAAATATATACAGTCTGTAGAACATTTTCGAATATCTCTACTATTAAAGGAGAGTTCATAGTCTTTTCGTTTGTTTCGCACGCATCCACTAAATTTAGAAATTGTCCGAGTTATTGTCTGCCCAGTCTCTGCCTCGCCCACTGATGGTGTCCCAGCTAGGGGGTCTCTCACCATGTCGTATCTCGGCCAGGCGGACTGGCCGTTGACCCCTTTGTTGGTTTCGGCATGGGGCACATCGGGTGGCCAATGACGTGTAAATGAAAGGATGCAGAAAATTTAACGTATACTCCAAGAAGCTTGATTCGTGGAGGACTCAGTTTCCTTGTAAGTAGCCGACTAAGATGCTGTGACGCTAGGACCACCGGTATCTATATAAATCAAAGGGCTAGGCTCGTAGAAGACACACAACAACCTCTTGATAGACATCTATACTCTGTATTTACTCCAACACAATAAACACAAACAAGACCTAGGGTACTATCTCAGAGAGCCCGAACCTGGGTAAAACCTTGTGCCCCTGTTACCATTGTACCTAGTAGCTTAGCTTGAGATCCCCTACCTCGAGATCTGGCGGATTTACCTTCGTCAGTGGTGGCTGATGTCGCTTGAAGCTACGTCGATATTTCTCCAAAGAGGAAGGGATGATGCAGCACAGTGGCGGTAGGTATTTCCCTCAGATATGAAACCAAGGTTATCGAACTAGTAGGAGAACCAAGCAACATAACGGAAACAGCCCCTGCACACAAATAACAACCACTCGCAACGTGACGTGTTAAAGGGGTTATCAATCCCTTTCGGGTAACGGCGCCAGAAATTGGCTAACGGACGGGAGAAAGTTGTAAATATTGATAGATCGAAAGCCAAATAAAATAAATTGCAGCAAGGTATTTTTGTATTTTTAGTTTAATAGATCTGAAAATAAAAGGTAAATAAAATAGATCGCAAAGGCAAATAATATGAGAAAGAGACCTGGGGGCCGTAGGTTTCACTAGTGGCTTCTCTCGAGAAAAATAGCAAACGGTGGGTAAACAAATTACTGTTGGGCAATTGATAGAACTTCAAATACTCATGATGATATCCAGGCAATGATCATTATGTAGGCATCACGTCCAAGATTAGTAGACCGACTCCTGCCTGCATCTACTACTATTACTCCACACATCGGCCGCTATCCAGCATGCATCTAGTGTATTAAGTTCATGGAGAAACAGAGTAATGCAATAAGAACGATGACATGATGTAGACAAGATCTATCTACACTAGATAAATAGCAACGATACATACGTGTCGGTTTCCCTTCTGTCACTGGGATCAAGCACCGTAAGATCGAACCCACTACAAAGCACCTCTTCCCATTGCAAGATAAATAGATCAAGTTGGCCAAACAAAACCCAAATATCGGAGAAGAAATACGAGCCTATAACAAATCATGCATATAAGAGATCAAAGAAACTCAAATAACTTTCATGGATATAAAAAGATAGATCTGATCATAAACTCAAAGTTCATCCGATCCCAACAAACACATCACAAAAAGAATTACATCATATGGATCTCCAAGAGACCATTGTATTGAGAATTCAGCGAGAGAGAGGAAGCCATCTAGCTACTAATTACGGACCCCGAAGGTCTACAAAGAACTACTCACGCATCATCAGAGAGACACCAATGGAAGTGGTGAACCCCTCCGTGATGGTGTCTAGATTGGATCTAGTGGTTCTGGACTCTGCGGCAGCTGGAATTGATTTTCTTCGACTCCCCTAGGGTTTCTGGAATATTGGGGTATTTATAGAGCAAAGAGGCGGTCCGGGGGGCACCCAAGGTGGGCGCGCCTGGGCCTCCTGGCGCGCCCTGGTGGGTTGTGCTCCCCTCAGAGCACCCCCAGGTGCAGCCTTGGCCCATTGGGTGTCTTCTGGTCCATAAAAAATCTCCATAAAGTTTCGTTGCATTTGGACTCCATTTGGTATTGATTTCCTGCGATGTAAAAAACATGCAAAAAACAGCAACTGGCACTTGGCACTATGTCAGTAGGTTAGTACCAAAAAATGATATAAAATAACTATAAAATGATTATAAAATATCCAATATTGATAATATACCAGCATGGAACAATCAAAAATTATAGATACGTTGGAGACGTATCAGTGGCCCATGCAGGTCTTACAAAGTGATTGCTAAGGTACGACGGGAGTCAAGATAAACGAGCGGATCGGCACCAACGTGACCTTAGTGCCGAGGCAAATCTTCACCTTCGGCGGCATCACACTCGTCGCCGACTCGACTGGACACCTCGACTAGGTCGAATCCTTTGCTCCAAGACGGATCGTTAGATTCGCCAGCATGGAGTAAACCACGGATTCCCATAAGGAGATGGACTTCACGA